CATATATTCACCAATGAAGATCTGTTATTTGAACTAAAACAGTCACAAAAACAGCATTTAGTAATGATATCCCAATCACCCATCATCTTTATTATAGAGCAAATAGGAAAGACCACCAAGAAACAGCAACTGGAGTAGAAGGAGATGGAACAATCATAGCTACAATGCCCTGCCCTTCATCATATATCCAAATAACAACTGGTTGGGAGCAAACAGATAAGAACACAAGAACAAATACACTGGACTTCAAATGCAAAATGGAGCATTATCTGGGCAGAAATATACCTCTAGTTCTTTTTCCAGAAACTAAAAAGATCACCACAAGCCTAATATTAGAGATCACAGGGGAAACAATGAAAACAATGCAAGGACTAACCAGGAGCTTTTAAATTCATTTTCTAAAAACTACAGTTGACTAGATAAAAAGCAAATAGGGCTGGAAATAATTTCCTGGAATCTGGAAGGCTGGGAAAATAAAGTGGCAGATAGGGAATTTATTGGAACTCTATGGAAATGTGACATAACTTGTCTGCAAGAGACCTGGACACATGAACTCAATCCTCTATTCCGACATGTTTATAAAGCATTTAGTCAACCAGCCATAAGGAACTCTTTAAAAAGGTAGAGGAAGTGGTGTTTGGGTGTTCTTTGTTTCAATAGAATTAGCAGGAGAATCCTAAGTGGTGGATTTTGGTTTACATGAAACATTTTGAAATTAACTCATCACCACCACCACTAATAACTGAAATGGTTCAATTTATTACATTATCTTTGATTAACTGATCTTTTGAACAATTAGTTCCCAGGGCAGACCAGGAGAGTTATAGGTAAAGGTTGTGACTTATTGGCCCCAGGGCATATAGAATGCTTATCAATACCATCAAATTTACTTTTTTTTTTGTCGTTCATAATGCACCTGTCTCTGCTTTGGAATACCCCCTAAAGCTTGTAATATTGAGGTTCAGGGGACTGGCTGCAAAAATCAAGTAGTGAACTAAGAGTGGAGATATCTTAACCCAAAATGTTTTCAGTACCTCTGAGCATAAGAAATACATCTCTTTGCAGGACATCATTTTCTGCCTCTCTGACACACTCAGACTCTCTTACTATGTTAAGGTATCCATGCAGGAGTACATGAAAATTAAGCATTACATCCTCTTGCCTGTCCTATATTAGAGTAGATTAATTGAATAATTGAGGTTTTCCTAAATGACAATCCAGCCATTTAATAAATGGATATGATCTAGTTGGGTCTTGCAATTAGAATCAAGTCCAAGTTCACCCTAACTTGTAGAATTTAATTATTCACCATCTTATTATTTCACTCTTTAAACAGAGAAGATTGACTGGCAAACATGATTTTATTCCCGGAGTGTGAATAAAAATAAACATTATATTTTTGACCTGAATTTTGTTGTATGAGCAGTTTCTTGCACTGTACCCTGCTCTTATCGGCATAATAAAGGTCAAAGAGCCATGAGTTCTCAGTGCAGGTAATCCCATTGCCTCTGATCTTCCACAGTTCTGCCAAAAAGTTGCATTAAAAAGCATTGACCTTGAAACTTTGGAGATCAAATGTGAGCTACAGATCAAACCAGGTAAATAAAAGGTGGGTGGGAGGTAGATTGCTGTTAATCTGAAAGTGTTTAGAATTTGTGAAGTGCTTATATATTTAGAACTTGCTTCTTCCAGAAAAAAAAGAAGGAAAAAAAAAGGAAAGACAGAAATTTTGACAAAAATGCAGAGTGTTGGTTTGGAAGCTTAATAGAAACAAGGATGATTGGGAAGAAAGAAAAAGATTACATTCAAATATTTCCCACTGTAACCTAAAAGCATGTGAGAATCAGATAGAGCTCTTCAGATATTATCGAAGAGCAGTTCCCAGTTTTAATCACCACGGCTTTTTTTGGGGGGGGGGGAAGGTGCACAACTCCAACCATTGTGGTAAATAAATTTTAAAGGTCAATAACACAATTATATGTGTTCTAAATGTGAAATACTTTATAAAGGGTTGAAGAAATGCTTCTGAAAACCACTCTGTATTTGGGTTGTTGTAGGTTTTTTCGGGCTATATGGCCATGTTCTCGAGACATTCGCTTGAACATGGCCATATAGTCCGAAAAAACCTATAACAACCCAGTGATACTGGCCATGAAAGCCTTCGACAATACACTCTGTATTTATTTTTCCTAATACTAAGATACACTTAGTGGAATGTCGGTTTTTATTTAATGTAATGGATAGTTTATTTATCAAGCAGTTTTAAAGATTTCATTGAGAATGAAGAAATAAAAAGATGGTCACTAATTACTGAGTAAGAGAAGCGTGCAGGGAAAGTATAAAATTATATTGCAGATGAAGATATTATGGCTTTATTCTTGAGAACAGTGCATGGATGGAAAGTTGTAGAAAGTGGATTTTTCTGTCCCCTTCTTCTTTCATAATGCCTAAATGTCTATGAAATGCCTTTCCGAACCATCGGGGGGGGGGGGTAAAAAGTGTATGATGGAGCTGAGATAACTGCAATGAGAGCCAGAATCTCCCAAACTGACAGTAGTGTCTTACACAAAAGGAGTTCTGTTCATTCTAAATGTCTCTGTCTAATATGGAGTAATTCTGTGCCATCTCATTAACTGCATCTTTGCCCTCCATCTCCCTTACACAATTTTGGAAGAATCCTTTACCTGGGGTATAGATCAGTGGTTCTCAGCCTGTGGATCCCCAGATGGCCTTCAACTCCCAGAAATCCTAACTGATGGTAAACTGACTGGGATTTCTGGGAGTTGTAAGTCAAAACACTTGGGGACCCACAGGTTGAGAACCACTGGAGATGGATAAAGTGTGGACTGTGAGTTCCATGTGGTTTCCAAAGCCTCCCAGCATTATGCATTTTCCTCTTTTTTGCCCCCTCAATGGTCCCAATGGAGAATGGATATAATTTTGCCATGTTCTTCACCTTCCCTGCACAGTTTTATGTCATCAGGAAGTCTTTTTACCAACACAAAGTTATCCAGAAGTCAACTTTTGCTGTTGAAAAAAGACTTTTCTTTGACCTTAAGCAGCCCAGATAAAGTAAGAGTATTTTACATTGCAGCTCTGAGGATTCAATGTGAGGGGCATTTGAGGGAAAACATTGTAAATAGATGGGGAAATTTGGGGTAGCAAGGAATCTCCAAGGTCCCCTTGGGCCAGTCTAGCTTTCTGACCCTTAACAATTTCCAATTCTGCTCTGAGAAAAACCCAATTTTGAAAGTCTGTCTCCAAACTCCAAAATCTTTTGCTATTTTTATCTGTGGAGACTATAAAATAACAGGTGTTTCAAAAATTGACTTTAGGTCTTAGAAAGTTATAAACAATCTTTTTACTGCATGGTCTCTAGAGCATTCTATGCCAGTGCATTGACTTGGATAAACATAAACCAAGATTTTCTTCTGTTTCTTGGAACATAAACTCATCAACACTTATGAAGTCAATAAAAGTCAATAAAATAAAGCCAGTACTGTCAAACTGGATTGTAATAACCTAGAATTATTAGCAGAACTGAATATAATTTACTTCCACACAGAATCAGAATATGCTCAATATTTTAAGGGACGTGTGTGATTTTAATAATTGATATAACAGTTTTAGATGTTTTGAATTTTTGGTTTTTAACATAAATATTTACCAACTATATATTATTTTTAAGGCATTGAATTGTTGCTGATGTGTGGGGCCGCTCTGAGTCCCCCTTGGGGTTGGGAAGGGTGGGTTACAAATGTGTTAAATAAATGAATAATAAATACTCCTTTGGGATTGGGAAAGGCAGGGTTGTATACTCTCACTCAACCTATTCAACTTGTATGCAGAACACATCATGCAATGTGCAGGGCTTGACGAATGCAAGCCTGGGGTAAAAATTGCTGGAAGAAACATTGACAACCTTAGATATGCAGATGACACCACCTTGATGGCCAAAAGTGAGGAGGAGCTGAGGAGCCTTCTAATCAAGGTGAAGAAGAAAGCGCAAAAGCTGGGTTGCATCTAAACAAGAATGATTAACAACTGGGAAACAGAGGGAGAAAATGTGGAGGCAGTGACAGACTTTGTATTTCTAGGTGCAAAGATTACTGCAGACACAAACTGCAGCCAGGAAATCAAGAGACACTTACTTCTTGGGAGGAGAGCAATGTCCAATCTCGACAAAATAGTGAAGAGTAGAGACATCACACTGACAACGAAGATCCGCAAAGTTAAAGCAATGGTATTCCCCATAGTCACCTACAGATGTGAGCGCAGGACCATAGGGAAGGCTGAGCGAAGGAAGATAGATGCTTTTGAACTGTGATGTTGGAGGAAAGTTCTGCAAGTGCCTTGGACCGCCAAAAGATCCAACCAGTCCATACTTCAGGAAATAAAGCCTGACTGCTCATTGGAGGGAAGGATGTTAGAGGCAAAGATGAAGTACGTTGGCCACATCATAAGAAGAAAGGAAAGCTGAGAGAACACAATGATGCTGGGGAAAATGGAAGGAAAAAGGAAGAGGGGCTGACCAAGGGCAAGATGGATGGATGGCATCCTTGAAGTGACTGGATTGACCTTGAGGGAGTTGGGTATGGCCATGGCCGACACGGAGCTCTGGCATGGGCTGGTCCATGAGGTCATAAAGCGTTGGATGAACAACAACAACAAATACTCCTTTTCAAAAGATGCACAGTATCTCCTGGATACTGTGCATGGATTCTAAGATCTACCAGGGAGGCCCTGCTCTTGGTCCCACCTCTGTCCCTAACGCAGTTGGTGGGGACAAGAGAGGGCATTCTCGGTGGTGCCCCCCCGGCTCTGGAATGCCCCCCCCAAGAGATTAGGTTAGCTCCCACCCATGGAGGCAAACCAAGAATGGAGGAAAAGCAACATTTTTAAAACACATATCATTAAAGTATTGTCATGTTTAGCCATATATAATGATATATGTGATATTGCAAAACTAAAGCAAAGAAAAAGCCCACTCATGAAATTACCTGTAGTGGGTAATTGTGTAGGTTCATCCGGTAAGAACTTGGATGATGATAGACATTCTCTTGTAAACACGATGTCATCAAGGGCTATAGATCTCCTGTAATCCTTCCCAGCACGCCCTTCAAAGATGACCCAGAAGTCTTCATCTGCTCCCAATGGTAATACTACTCGTTTCCAGAAATTTCCCTGATTCTCAGACAGACTGAACAATGTTTTTCTAGTTTGATTTGATACTGTCACCTGGGAGACAGTTAGTGATCCAATATTTGCTCCATACATGTGGTAGTAAAATATTATCTGGAGAAAAAGAGAAGCAGTAAATTGTTGTATACCATTATTTATTTATTTAGGGCTTTTATATCCCATCCTTTCTCAACCTCCACATAGGGACTCAGGACGGCTAACAAAGTGGCACCCCATGGCGTCCACATCAAAACATAAATATACAATTAACAGTAATAGACCCTATCCCTTGTCCCCGCCAGACGCGATTCTGACAATGGGAGGACAATGAGCAGGGTCTCCTCAGATGATCTTAGGGCCCTAGGTGGATCGTAGTGGGAGATACGTTCAGACAAATAAACTGGGCCAGAACCATTAAGGGCTTTATAGGACAAGACCAGCACTTTGAATTGTGCTTGGAAGCTGATAGGCAGCCAGTGGAGCTGGCATAACAAGGGCGTTGTGCGCTCCCTGTACCCAGCCCCAGTGAGCAGCCTGGCTGCTGACCGTTGGACTAGTTGAAGCTTCTGGGCAGTCTCCAGAGGAAACCCCACATAGAGTGTGTTGCAGTAGTCTATTCAGGATGTAACAAGACCGTGGACCACTGTGGCCAAGTCAGGCTTCCCAAGGTACGGGCGCAGCTGGCGCACAAGTATTAACTGCGCAAAAGCTCTCCTGGCCACCGCCGAGACCTGGGGTTCCAGGCTCAGCAATGAGTTCAGGATCACTCCCACGCTGCGAACCTGTGCCTTCTTGGTGAGGTACATATGGTTCCTTTGTAATGTGAAATAGTTACGTGAGAACAGAATCTCAGTAAGAAAATTCTGACAGATTTGTCTAACATGTTTTGTGTTTAAATGTTTTAAAAATATTTACATTCTGTCTTCAGAGGAGAATACCTCAAGGCAGCTAAAAAGGTTTCCAAAAACCTACAAGCAAACTGGAAGACAAAACTAAACAAGATAATTCAATATAAGCAATGCACAGCAGTACTAAGTAACTGATCAACAAAAACTAACTGAACTATTTTTCCAAAACACTACTTTGGTACCACAATGTGGAAATAATAAGTAGAATAAGTAATAAATTATAATTACTTCCTATTTCACTAAGAAAGTCATACGTGCATGACACAATGGACAAAAATACTGCATGGTTCAACAATTTAGTGCATGCTCTCCTTCTATTTCTTGCTTTTTTGTGGATGCTAGGTAGATAACAAAATTGATGTAAGAAGGACATGTTTTGTTCCATAGGGCAATAGGTTTCATCATTGACATGCTTTTTAAAGTAATATATTAGTTACACTTGAGGAAGAAGAAAGATTTGTGTTGACTAATCCTGCCTGACAATTTTTTATAAGTAACTTTCCAATCTATCAAAGATGCTGGATTAAAAATTGCATTTAAAATACAACAAAAATGGAAGAAAGGAAATCTACTTGAAGAGAGGTTTCCAAACCTCAGTGGCTTTCTGAAAAGATTCCTATTCATCACAGCCCAGGGATGGGCAGCAGGTACTTGGGGATCTTTAATAAATTAGCAAATATTGACTCACAGTTGTTTAACATAGAAGTTGTTCTTCCTTCAAAATAAAACTTCCTGTGTTTTAATTGCCGGGAGTAAACCAATCTTTCCACTGACAGAGTATGAAAAATAAATTCCTGTTTGAGAAGCGATTAGCACCCTGTTCTCTCATTTTTAAAGGTATATTTATTCCCTAGTCATTCTCTATTCTGATTTTGGAATGTATAGTACCCTCATCAAAAAAATAAAACTGACTGGTCGTAAAGTGCATTCTATCTTTCTGATACCTGCCTTAGGAAAAGTAGCAAGCAGAACAAAATGTCTTGCTTTGAAAAATAAATTGTTTATTTTTTTCCTCTAGCAGATGTCAGTAGAAAAAAACAGATAATATTTTTCATTGTTCTAATGCTCAAATGAATTCAAAGAATTTGTTCCTGCTTGCTTTCAATTGCTTGCTATCTAAAATCTGAAAAGTGGGGAAAATATTCAGCACATTTTATTGCAAGGTGTCCTTTGCTCCAGGGTGAACAAGATTTGCACTTTAATGCCACTGAAGTGTTTCATTTCATTCAAACAATGAGATTTTTTTTCCGACAGAAACCAAGTCAGAACCAAGAACAAACACATTGCATTACTATAACGTTCAGTTGAATAAAATAACAAGTACGTTTTCTCCGAGGGATGCTTCAGAGACATTGAATTCTTGCAGATAAAAATTAATGTCTGTTATTCTTGCTGGATAATTTTGCACATACCTTACAATTTTTGCTTTTCTTGCTTATGAGCCCACTAGAAATTCTGGCTTCTTGCCCTGGCAACTGAGGGAAGGAGTTTTTGATAGAGATGTAATGACCAGATGGTTTGTGCAAGGTATGATCAGCAATTGGCCCAGTGATTAGTCTTGGGATGCCTCCAGATCTAAGATTCCAGTCAAAGTCGTCATTCTGGTCTTGTTCCCAGTCGCAAAGATCAAATTCAAAATCACAGCGTCCAATAGAAACACCTGACCAAAGGAAGGGGAAATTGAGATTTTAAAATAATGGAAAAAAAATGTCTAAATGAATTTGAAAATAATAAACATATTCTCCCTATATTTTCAAAATGATTGAGTTTGAACTGCATTATATGAGTCTACTCTATGTAATGCAGTTCAAACTGTATTATTTATTCAGTGTAGATCTACCCTCAGAACTTGATTTCACAATATCTAAATAAAAACAAAATGTTCACCATATTTGATTTTATTTGTTAAAGCTTGTGTTTTTCTAATAAAATTGTTTCAAAGATGCAAAAACCACTTCTTCGAGACAAACTTTTATATCAATCTTATTAGCATATAAAAGTAAAGTGTTGACAGAAATGGAATGATCAAAGAGATTAACTATTGAAATCAATAGCAAGATATAGCTTGTTTCATACTAGAATTACCTGTGAAATAAGGATTTCATGCTGGATCAGTATCAAAAGAAACAATTAAACAGACCAAAAGGCTGCTGAACTAGTTACGTTCTGAGAATTTAGGAGATGGTGTAATTTCCTTTTACAACTAGGGAAATCTAGCTTTATTCTGAAGTTGCTGACAAAATTAATGAGGAAAGCACATTGGAGAGGCAGAGAGAGCAAATTAATGTTCTACAGTGTTTGTTTCCCAATGTAATAATGCAAACAATAGTGTCTGATTTTGTTTTGTTTTTAAAATGAGGCAATGAAATTACTTAAAAGGGATCCCTTTTCCTACAGGAGTGAGGCTGATGTTTAACTTTATCGGAAGTCCAACTGAAGTTGAATTTACACTATGGACTGCGGGTAAAAGAGGGTCCTGACTGGTGAGCTATGCTAACCGCCAATGTTTCCCAAATAGAGACTCACCAGGATGAAACAAATGACAGAGAGTTTAATACAATCTGCAGAAAGGATGTAATGTACAGCAAAAGATGCCCAAAATGAACAAACATAAGCATACATTGCACAGACCTGAATTCTTATACATTTAACAGCTATTCACGTTTTCTCCCTCTGCCTGCTTGCTTTTGTGATTGGCCAGCAAAGGGGCTGGCCTGAAGCAGTGCCCTGATTAATTGGTGCTGCGAAATCTTCAGGCAGGAATTCCTTGATTGGAGGGAAGAGTCAGAGGAGGAGTGGCCCCAAGGAGAGCCAATCAGCTGTTGAGGGGGTGGCTCTCCTGGGAGGAGGCAGGCCCAGGAAGTCCATGCCCATTGTGGTATGTTGTGGCACCTGTACCCAAATCCTTTAGCCTTCTAGACTAGCACCTTATATCTCCTTACCCCATGGTAATAATGCATAAGACCACTTTTACTAGCAGGCTTTTGTTTGCCCTGTGTGTGTGTGGGGGGGGGGGGGGGGGGGGAGTGATTGGGAAACTATGTTTTAATTTGTTTTAATGCATTTATATGTTTTAACTGTTTCATAATTTTATATGTTATATTTATATGTTATCTCTGATGTTATATTTATTATTTGTATGTATAATGAGGCATTGAATTTTGCCAAAATCTGTAAGACGCTCTGAGTCCCCTTCAGGGTGAGAAGAGCAGGGCATAAATACAGTAAATAAATAAATATGTCAGCCTGTGATTGTGTTTAATGATCAGGTTGCTTTGGATGATGGGAATGACAATGTCGTGTCTAATGATTAGGTTGCTTTGGATGATGGGAATGACAATGTTATTCATGTTCAAGTTGATTCTTCTGATGGGAATGGGGATGCTGTCCTTGAAGATATTCCTGAAGGGAATAGGAGTGATGGTCTGTTTCCTGGACCTGGTTTTGGAAATGAGGGGCTTGAATGCAGTTCAGTTGATGGTTTAGAGAGGACTGTATTGCTGCAAAGGGATTCTCAGGTCTTGAGCCTGGGAAAGGCTCAACACCTGGTCAGTTATCTCCAGGTGCAGATTTTAATGAAGCCTTGAACAAAGAATTGCTTTTAACCAGAAAAGACAAACAAATCAGAAATTAAGGTGCTCGATCAGATTAGAGCAGAAGCTAGAAGTGAACCCAAAATTGAGGAAAATCCATTCTTAGCTGTTTGGGAAACAAAGTAGACATATAAGTGCCAAGTACTGAGTCTAGCTTCAGACGAAGCAACGTTGGATTCATGATAAGTTCTTCATGCCAAGTTCCTGAACCTTTGTCTTTGTTCGATTCCTGCTTTAAGTGCCTTTGGTGTTATTTTGTCTTTGAAATTAAGCCTCTGGTTTCATGGACTTCTTTGGACTATTTCTGTTTAGATGAATTGCTCTTTTTACTTTCTAATCAATTGGATTTACCTTTTACTGTGGATTACTTTTTATTGCTTGGGCTTTTATTTCCCTCAATAAACTGCTTGCTATTTTAACTCAACTGTGTGGTGCATAAAGTCAGAGGGAATACTGCTATGGAGTGCCACACCCATATTTGGAGAGCTTAGGGGCTTTCTCTTGAAACAGTCCAAACTTGGATGTATATTGTAATCCTTTGGAGATGAGGAAATTCCACTGGAAAAACAATGTGGTGATCTTCTGTAATTGAGCTTTGGGTGTCAAATAAGGAATCCTAGTGTGCACATATTTTGTGTTACTATTTCCACAGTCAGCCATTTCTCCACTCAATTAAGACCATCAGAGGATAAGTACCAGCCCAGTGTTGTCAGATTGAGGACAGAAACCTCCTACTGAGCTGTGCATGCACACACAATAGATTTTGAGAGTATCTCAGAAGAACTGCGGTGGGCAGTTTCAAATGAAAGCATCTTTATCAGTGAAAAGATTAATTAGATTAAACTGATTCAGATTTTTTTGATGAATAGTCAAGTTTTTAAAACTCTGAATCCATTTTAAGGATTTTAACTGTTTACTCTTAATAACATTAATATTTAATTCTATTATAATGTTTTCATATTTTGGGGTTTTAAATTGTGCCGAATTGGTTGTATTTTAAGCCACTTTGAGTCTTTAAATTGTCATGTAGTGTTTGGATCAGGTCCAGGAAAAAACTTTGTTCAACTCCACAAAGTTTATTATCTGATGTTGAACCCATCATCACCTCGACAACCTCAAAGTGTGTTGGATTTTAGCCCACAGTTCTAATTGCATGCCAATACATCCAGAGAGTACCAGGTTAGGTACTGCATAAATCCAACACAGTAGATGCATTCTATATCTGCCTTAAAAGACATAGCCTGAGCTTCAAACTCACACACATATACACACATAAATGGAATCAAAACTCCATCACCCTTTAGACATTTATCACAGCTTGCTTGCTTTTTGCACCATCAATACATGGTTTTACGGGGCTCAGGAAAGATTTGTTGTTGAGAGACACTACAGACTGCATTTTCATTTTAATACAAAAAGTCACTCAAGAAATATTTTTTCTTAGACATGAAAATCTCTAGAGAATGAGATCACAGTATATGCAGAGCCATCCCAAACAGTATTTTATCCTCAAAGAAGCGATCACAGATGATCACAGCCAAGCTGTGTCATTTGGTGCACTTTGAACAAAGATCTTCCTCTTGGAAAGGAAGTGCACATAGGCCAGCCAATTATCTTATGTCAAAGAAATAGGCCTGGCTTCAACAATGGTTTATATTCTACACTTAATTACATTTTTATCTGCTGAAGAATTGTTCCATTATGCCATTTCTCTCTCTCTCTCTTTCAGACAGACACCCAAGACATTGCTATCCTCAAGATAAATTAGCAGTGAATATAGGAAAAGATTTGGCTTTTGCACAGGTTAGACGAGGAATAGATCCATAATATTCTCATGAGTGGCAGAGATCCCTAAATGAATACAAAAAAATATTTATAGAGCTAGAACTAGGCTTGCATGCAATAGAGTTGCACTGTCATCATAGGAAATGAATTGTTGGCAATTTTCTTTGATTCCCTGTATGACTCATGAGCTGTTCTGGGCATGTGAGGTGGCATTAAAGGCTTCAGGGGGAATCACCTCCTCCTCTTTTCCCATTGTTCAAATAAATTGAGTCCTTTCACTTGCAGATCTGCAAGAGTGCATCCAACCTACATTTATTGGATTGGATTGGTTTTTCTATAGTAAACTAATCTCAGGATAGCACCTTGATTATTTTCAGTTCTTGGGAAAATAGATTTTAGGGGGAAAACAACTCAACAAATCTCTTGGCCATCGTGGCTGGAGGATGTTGAGAAGTCTTGTCCAAAAAAAGCACAATCCCTCCTTGGACTCCTGCTTATGAGAATGTTGTTACAAAGAGGCAGGAGATACAGCCTGTCTGTTGCTTCATGGCTATATGAACAAAATAAAATGTTCTCACCTCAAACCTGCTGCAAGCAGTTGAGACAAGATATGGCCAGTTCTGCTGCAGAAGCACTACTTCCAGTGTTTAATCTGTCACAACAAGAACCACAGCCTTAGTGTTTATAATGTGTGGACAGCTGGGTCCAGGGTGATCCAACTTCAACACTTCAAAAAGACCTACAGTTGTTTTATCAGCCAAAAGCACCTGAATAACAGAGTCTTGATGGTGACATTGCTTCTTGTGATTACATGGCTGGACATCCTATCATAGTCTCACCAGAAGCAATGTTGCCACCCAGGTTCTGTGACTAGCAGCTTCTAGCTGGTGAAATAGTGCTGGCAGCAGCTCCCAGGAGGACAGAGCACCAGTTCTGATTAGCTGTCACCCCAATTGGCCAAGTGGACTACAAAACTGCTTTGGGGTGCTTCCTCGCCAGTACATGTTGATTCCTCATGGTGTATCACAGTCGGCTCTGGAGCAAACTGCTGCAGATTGTTTCACCTTTGTCTCCTTCCAAAGGCATGGGAGACAATATGTATTGATCTCATCACATGGAGGTCCAGGAGCCTGGGGACAATGGGGGAAGTAGAGGACAAGTGTAGGAAACCATGGAGCAGTGCCCAACTTTGTCCCCTTACTATGGTTGGGTGTGGGCTGCCATCCCACATTTCCCTGCTATCTCTTCCTCTCTTGCTGTCCCCGGCTTCTTTAATGAGGAGACGGGTAGTCATTTGTTTCCTCAGGGCTTCCTCTTAGCACAATGCTGATATGCTGCCAGGATGCAGCCCTGTTAGAAATAGCCCTACATCATACGTTGGGCTATGACAGACTTTGTCCTGGCAGTGTGCTGGCATCATGCTAGGATGGGGGGAAAATCCCCATCTGATGGGGTCATATACTTCTCTTCACTACTGCAGGTTCAAGCTAATGTGGCTTCATTCTAACTATTCCACAACCTCACCCATTATATTCTAAGTTGTAGACGAATTAATAAGTTTCCTTCCCTGTTTTCTTTACCTGGCAATCCTTTTGCTTAGTTATGTAATGTTCTTCCTTGTCGTTGCCAGTATTTTAAAAATGTACTCTAATAAAAAAATCCATTTTGAAATTAAATATTTATAGATTATGAAAACATTCTATATCTTAACAAATATATTTGCAGCATTATACTACAAATAAATACATGACACTGTAATTCACTTCATTATCTTATGACCACACTGCAATTTTCTGGATTAGTAACAGTAACATGGATCCTAAATCCTGCTTTAGTTCAGAGATACTACAAGGGTTGAATGAAAAGTAATGCCTCCACCTTCGTAACTCCTCAACAGATGGCAGTACTGGTATGCGGCAGGTACTGGCTTGTTCAGTAGACTCTCCTCTTCAGTTCCATTTTCATGGAAAGCCTTAGCATTGAATGGTTGTGTTGTTAAAGTGCGAAATATGGAACGCAGCACAGACGGTCGGTCAATGCGACTAAAGCAATGTGCAGTCATTGAATTCTTGACAGCAGAAGGTGTCATCCCAAAGGAGATTCATCAGAGAATACAAGTTTTTATGGTGATTGTGTTAATGTGAGTACTGTGCGTCGTTGGGCCAGTAAGTTTAAAGATGTTGAGGTGGGAACATCTGACTTGTGTGATAAACAAAGAATTGGACATCCTGTGACAGCAACCACCAAGTTTCACATGCAAAAGGTTGACAGATTGATTCAGGATGATCGTCGTATCACAGAGAGAAATTTCAAGCATAATCGGCATTTCACAAGAATTTTTTTTTTAGGTGTGGGTCACATTATTGCTTTGCTTGGCTATCAGAAGATGTGCATGATGGGTACCCCAAGATGCGGACGCCTGAAATGAAAGCTCACAGACTTGAAACTTCATAGACTGAATTTCACCACTGTACCATATCCTCCATACAGTCCAGATTTAGCACCATCTGACTTCCATCTGTTCCTGATAATGAAAGAAGATCTTCGGGGATATCATTATGCTTCTGATGAAGACGTTGAGAGAATTGAGATGCTGGTTGTGGAAACAGAGTGTCAACTTCTTCCATGATGCCTTCAGAAAACTTGTTCATTGTTGGCAGAAATGTATCCAATTGTCTGGTGATTATGTGGAAAAGTGAATAGTAGTAGGCTGTTGTAGGCCTTTCGGGCTATATGGTCATGTTCAGGCTACATGGCTACATAGCCTGAAAGGCCTACAGCAGCCCAGTGATTCTGGCCACAAAAGCCTTTGACAATAGTGGTAGTTAAAGAGCACATTCTAAGGATTATTTCTGCATTTATTAAAATATTTCCATCCAAATCCACAAAACAAAGGTGGAGACATTACTTTTCATTCAACCCTCATATTTCTGTTATTTGGTCTTGACATGTTTCTTATAACTTATTTTGCTCTGTTTTTCTGTCTCATTCCAAAACACAGGAAAAGGAGGAAGGCCCTACTGGGATTTGCTATTTTCTAGAAATGTTATCTTTTTAAAAGTTGTTTTAAAAATGCATGAATCATAGCCACCAGCTCATTTAAATCTTAGCCACTGGAGTGAACTGCAATTGTAGGAATGTACAATTTAATTTCTCCTTTAACTAGCTGGAAGCAGCTTATGGCCAGGTTGAAGGTGCAATAAATAGTTTATCAGCATGCTTCTGCTTTGAATAAATTCCTATGAATATATAACACCACTATCAATTTTTAAATTTTGAAATCTGATTAACTAATCCTTGATTAAAATTGTGCCAACATCACAACAAACATTACATTAAAAATATACTGATGAAAATGTAAGGATATATCTGGCTCTGAACTTTGGGAAAGGTAAAGAAGAAAGAATCCTGAAAATGGGGGAAACAACAATTTGGTTCAGTGGAGACAGGGGTGTTAATATGCGATGGGATAAATTAGGGCATTGCCTAAATAAAAATTGTGCTCTTGCCATGGCAAGTATGGATGATTTTCAGTGTCTCACTCTTTGCAATGTTAGAAATGTGAGGACTGAAAGAAAACATTTTTGGGGCAAATAATTCTTATTTGAATGGGCAATGCACTAATTTTTCATCTCCTACGTGGAGACTTGCAACATCTAAGAAAACATCATGTGTCATAGTGACTGTTAAGGAACTATCATAACTCCTAAAGAATCCTGGGATATATATATATTGGTGATGTAATTAAACCTTGTTAAGGAACTCCAGTGCAATCCCACACATACATTTCTTAACTCACCCTTAGAAAAGGAACAGGAAATTTAATTCATTTAATTTTGTAATATAGATCGGCACCCAGTGAGCAACTGGAATACCAGAAGGACATGATTGTTGTGAATTCAAAACTGCACTGATTCATGCCTCTGGATGAATTATTTTTTTGTATCAGGAGCAACTTGAGAAATTGCAAGTTGCTTCTGGTGTGAGAGAATTAGCCATCTGCAAGGACTTCTCTCATGTCCCTGCATGGGGAGCTGGAGCTTACAGAGGGAGCTCATCCATGCTTTCCCCGGATTCAAAACTACAACCTGCCAGTCTTCAGTCCTGCCAGCACAAGGATTTAAGCCACTGCACCACTGGGGACTCCTCTCTGGATGAATGTGAACACTAGAGAATAGCAATTTCTTGGACGTCTGTAAATATAGTTATTAAATTCTCTTAATTTTTGCAGTTATTTTCAGATTATATATCCATGCAGGAATCATAGGACAGCATAATGAATGCAAAATTTCACTTATAATTGAATAATACCACAATATTAGAGACTGATATCCTTTGGAACCCTTATACTTACTGCAGATACTGTCATTCTCATCTGAGTTATCCGCGCAATCATTCACAAAATCACAGAGATTATCCTTTGGAAGGCAGTATTTGTTTGCACAAGTAAATTCTTCAGATGTGCAATGTTTGTTTGTGATAAGCAATGGAGAGCAATCTTTGAACAAAATGTCATCCACCGCCACATCTCCCATATAACTGATGCCCCGTTTAGTTCTGAAAACAACCTGGACAGTATAAAACATAGCATTATGAATACCATGAATACCATCATGAACATGAAATCTCATAGAGAGCTTCCTCACTCCTCTTCCTCCAATTACTTTGAGTTTGGTCTAGATTTTATGGTTTGCAAATGCAATGACTTGTTCAATGAGCAGGAGAATACATTCAGCAGACATATTTCTGTTGGAAACATAAAGTTATTTTTATCCCTCTAAGCCCTCTGAAAATCTGCTACATAGAAATCTGAAGAACAGTGTGAGAAATGGTGATGGCTGACAAATAAATTAGTAGAGCCTGAGCCCCCTTAATTCAGGATCAGACAACTGTGAAGTGAATAGGGGGCATTCTCTGTCTCAGGCTGACTATTGTTTCTTTTGCAGCCAGAAAGTATGCCACATCATTTCTGCTTTTGATTTCAACTTATTTTATGCCCAAAGTCTGGAGACCAAGCCTTACGGACAGTAACTTAGGGATTTGAGTATGTCTAATTTAGAGAAGACAAGACTGGTAGGTGACATAATGGTCATCTGTAAATATCAGAAGGAATGTCATGTAGAAGATGGAGCAGGCTTTTATTTTTTTGCTGCTCCAAGGTCTAGAGCTATGCATTCAAATTACAAGAAAAGAGATGTGGGAATTATGGAGACAAATCTGTCTTGTTTCAATATGAATTGTGGCTCACAACTTAAAAAAAATTGATAGGGGTCTGGAAGCTGGTTGGGGAATGGGGTAAAACTGTATCCCAATTGGCTGCATTTGCCTCTCAGGGTGCTTCCAGACAGGGGTTAAACCCACAATTAAGTGGGTTTAAGAAACCCACTTCACCATGAGTTTAAGTCCCCATGGCCATGGGGGGGGGGAGTGCCCCCATGCCAGCATGGTAACTACCTCGCTAGAATGGGGCCACCCAAAATCCTCCCCAGCACTAAAATAGAAATAAATCCTTACTGGTTCACCCCCCTCCCCCCCCCCCCCCCCCCAACACACACACACACACACACACACACACACACACACCTCTTCTGGCAGTCATTTCTACGTGCCAGGAAGACTGCTGGAACAGTGTCATGGTGACCCAGTAAGGATTTTAAAAATTTAATGCTTTTTTTTGGAGGGAGGGAAAGGGGTGGGTGCCATCTCACCATCTCACACCTTATGGGCTCCAGGAGGCGAAAATGTGTGAGATGGGCCTGTGGCGTCCCTGAGGACCCCACAGGCCCAAAGCCCCATTAGACCTGGGTCTTTCAGGAAGTAACATGTTTGATTAATCACTGAAAATGGAAATGAATGTATTGGGAGTGGGCAGCTAAAGTGTTTTAACAAAATGACAATGCCTTCAGCTATAGGAAGGTAGCAACACAATAAAGCAACACTGAAGCGATCCATTCTAGGAAGAGATTTCACAAGGAGCATCATCTCCCTGTTCCCATTCCCCTAATTGTATGTGCCATTAACAAATAATCTTCAGTCTACAGCAGGGACATCATTTTTGTTTCACTGCTTTGGAGTGCAGAGCTGTCGTATGGACTGGCATTATGAGATTTGAAACTAGAATGTTAAGTAGCCCAAATATATTTCAGCAAAGGGTGGGGTGGAGGAAAGCTAAATTATACACACCTGAAAATAGGAATGAACACCAAAAAACACTTCAGCTCTGTTCCACTGGCGTCCCTGAGGACCACTTTGAGCCCAAAGTTCTGAAGTTATGTTTCCCACTTTGCTGAGCACCTAGAAATCAAACATTTCTGATGAAAGTCAACACTTTTAATTAGCAACTTGGCTTTCCCAAATCAAACCGTACAACAAATTTGTAACTGAGCAACTTCAAATTAGCTTCATGTTTCATTTTTCACATTAAATGAAATAATTACCAGAATTTCCTCCAAGCAGCCTTGCAAATCTGTCAATATGTGGTTTGCTTATGGTATGGCCCTTTATTCACAATTTAAGCTAATAACATTGTAGATCATTTTTAAATGTCTTTATACCTTCTAAGTATTAAATCTCACACATGTCATACTAAGTGGCAGATCACAAGCCTCTAAAAATCTGTCTGCAGGGCTAATTATACTAATCCTACTGTCTATAATGGCAGTCCCACATCTATACCAGGCATGTTATTCCAGTGTAAATCTGCCTTAGAGGAGTCCTAGATCAATCATGTATATGTTGAATCTGGGGCTTGTGTCCAGTTGGCTGGGACCGCGTTGGCCTTGCTGGGCTATCACCTTGTTACTGTCGCTACTCCTCTGCAATCATGGAGTTCCCTGCGAGTGCCTGGCCATTGCCTATTGTGTCTTATGATGCCAAAATGGGTGTCCACATGATCAGTATGAAGGAGAGGAGAATGAACCAATCTAGCTCTCCAAATGGCTGCAGAGCCCTGGTATACTACACAGCTTCCAGCAAACTCCAGAGTATCCACTAACTTTACCCAAACCAAGGCAAAGCCAGATTAAGGCAAGGAATTCTGGACGTTGCTGTGTATTATGCAAACAGACAGCAGTAGATTACATTTTCTGGCCAGTGTTTTGCATGTGTCCAGGATGCAAAAATATCTAACAATGGCAATGAATTCTGCTGTGTGGAAATGGCATCCAAATGCTAGTGAATGTGTGAACTCTCAAAATTTCCCAACAACCACTGACTAGAATATTCTGCAGGATGTAGTCCAAAAGAGTAACTTTTCCAATCTCCATGCTTAACTGAAATAAAGGAACATGGCTGAATTTCTATAACAAGAATGGATATGATAAATGACACAACAGGAACTTGGATATAACAATCTTTGGATCTTGATTAATTAACAAACTTTTTATCATTTCCAGATCAGATGGTTTGTAGAATAAATGACACAAGTCAGGAAGCCATGTTGTGTTCGGCTGACCAAATAAGTAAAACAACTCTAAACTCCATATATATTCAGTTTTCAAAACTAATTTTATTTTAGGCAGTACATTAAACATCTAGTTGTTTGCATAAAAAACTTTTCCAATCAAGTTCCAGAGTGCTTGTTTAGTCTGAGTTGCAGAAGGTGCATGAGGTGTCCTCCTCGCTTCTTGCTTCAGTAAATATTCATTGAATTGTGACGAGTCCCTCCCAGGAGTCAACTATCCTAAATATGCTTCACTGACGCTAAAGTGTCAGAACTGAGCCAAACTGACAACATTGGGAGATGGAAGTATGGTGATGTATGTCAAATCATGCTTCTAGACAGCACTGACAGAACTATCCATCATCAACTCCCAGAAATGTTTTTTTCTCTAGGATTTATCACCAGGCATAATAATATACAGTCTTAGCTCCGGGACAGTCTAGGAGTTTTTTCAGACAGAGCAAAGGGATATCATCTCCCAGTTTCATATTACATGGAAAAATGAAATAACCATTCTCTTTGAATGGAAGAGTATTCCTATTATAACAGAGGAGTCTCATACATTAACTGACAAGCTGACAAAATAAATGCAAAAGTTGTCTCCAAAGCACTCAAGAGTCTGAGCACATCAAACACAGTGCAGCATATCCACTAACATATCAGATGCTAACTGACATCCAAACAAATCCCTTTGTGGTAAGAGTCAGTAATTGCTACTGTGGCATCTTCAAAGTTGGAAATTTGCATTGAAAAAAATTATAGTTCCAAACCTTGGGCTGAATCAGTTATTTATACTTGAAATTGTCAAAACTGAGTACCGGTATTTTCTTGTTATTTAAAAATAACCGAATGGTTACTTTTGCTTATTGTTTAAAAACATCTGAACACTAAATCCTGCAAGCCTATGGCGCCAAAATTATCTTCTATGATGCCCATCTTCTAACTATAAAAATAACTAAATCTGTTTCAATTATATTGCAAATAAAGTGAAGTGATACCTTGTTGTATTACAAAATAATTGTCAGTTAGCTGTTGCTTGTAGCCATTTACTTATAAGCTTAGGGTAAATTGGCAAGATTAAACATTCTTGCAAGTCAGATATTTTTGCATGAAAAGAGTAGCAAAAGAGTAACTAGACCTTGTTTGGATGATCATGTATAAATGAATCCCATTGTGCCTTACTTTGTGCAAGCTGCAATTGAACAAGGAATCCTTTAATGAAGCATAGTTTCCCATTTGTTTCACATTATGAAATGTTGTTCCTGGGATTGAAACAAACCCAGGTGTCATGCTCAAAAATGAAGTTTAATATTCTGTCATATTTCAGAGTTGCTACACTTAATCTTCCTTAATTTTTCCCCATGGAAAATGATCAACACAAAATAGATTAAATAGCCGAAGAGGGCCTTTTATCCACAAGCAAAATGATCTCTCTGGATGGAAATGTCAGGAGTAATGGGTGTCTGTCATGTCAGAGAGGAAGTAAATCTGCTCCAGATTAGGTCCAGGCTTTCACAGAGTCATCAAAATCTGGAATGTTTTCTCCAAATAAGTTTGTCATTTTGGATATCTCTTTTAATGGTCATCCTAAACCCCAGAGAGGTTTCACAGCTCTACTGATAGAGAAGATAGAAGCTGCTATAGGGATACATTTTAATATTAATAGTTAACTAGAGAGACATCATGGTTTGATAACAGCTTGAGGAAAGGAAGAAGTCGAGGACCTCCATGCACAGGAACAATGCCTGCACGTGTCTCAGATTAATAACCAGACAAAACCACTGCTTTAATCTTCAAGAAGCTATATCTGAAAATGGCTGTCCATCGCCTGCAGCTCCCTATATCTGGATGTGTACTTCCTTTCAGAGACTGAGTTTTAGGAAGAGCTTTTCTGAAGAGTTTTGTGATAAGAGAGTTCTGTTATCATGATTTTCTTCTGCTGCATCTTAATTACTTTTAAACAACAATATGAAATAATTCTTTGATGAAAGTACTTGAATTTACATCATTGTGTCTTAAATATGAGAATTTCAGCTTCACTAAGTTTCAGATTACAGCTACAAGATCTTATTGTAAAATATATTTTCTTTTCAGGATGTATGAAAACCTTTGCAGTATTTCAGCATTATTATATGCAAATTGTTTCTCCTTAATACTCCATTCTTTGAAAAGCTAAATAATCTCTCTATCACAACATGATTTAATACAAGTTTGGATAGTGATTCACAATTGTTCCATTGGTTATTAATAGTCATAGATTTCCAAAAAGGCAGTAAATACGCAGAAAAACATTATCTTGTCAAAATTAGTAGCACTCGCTTTGCGTAGATTGGAATGAACAACTATCATTCCACTTACAGTATATTTGTTAGGAAAATGTGAATGCAACAAATGAATAACTCATCTGCTGAGAAATGAAAAGATTTAGGGGACAGAAGTACTTTTATTTTAGTCTTTTGTTGGTATTGGATTGTCCTGTGTAGCATGGCTAAATAGTGAAAAATTATTATTACTGCATCATAGGGTTATCTGGGCCATAATTATAGTGGGACAATTAAACTGCCATGGCTCAATGCTATGGAATCCTGGGAAGTGTAGTTTGGTGAGAACTCTTTGGGAGTGAAGGCTCAAGATGAGTTGCTGTGAGTTTTCTGGGGTGTGTGGCCATTTCCAGAAGCATTCTCTCCTGACGTTTCACCCACATTTATGGCAGGCATCCTCAGAGGTTGTGAGGATGCCTGCCAGAGATGCGGGTGAATCATCAGGAGAGAATGCTTCTGGAACATGGCCATATAGTCCAGAAAACTCACAGCAACCCAGTGATTCAGGCCATGAAAGCCTTCAACAACACAAGGATCAAGATGAAAAACTAAAATGAATGCAGTTTGGCACCACTTTAACTTTCCTGGGTCAGTACTATGGACCCATGGAAGCTGTAGGTTTACAAGAGTTTAAACTTTCTATGCCAAAGAGTACTGGTGTCTTACCAAACTAGAACTCTCATGATCCCACCCACAGTATTGAGGAATGGCAGTTAAAGCGGTGTCAAACTGTATTTATTCTACAAAGTAGAAGCATTCATGGATAAAAGGTATTGCCATGGGAAATCAAAGTGGAATCAAAGCTTTGCAATATGAGAATCTAAGGCAGCAATCTATTGAACACAGTCTTTTGGTTATTTTTCTATCACAGCATGGAGCATGTTTTATAGATGCACATATAAAAATATGTTTGGATCATTATGAGACACAAGGGAGGAGGACATTCCGTGTATTGTATCTCAGCTGGCAGAGTGTGGATAGTCTTTGAAAAAATGATGTGATATATATTTCCATTACCTTCAAAGTACCTACTGTTGCCCCATACATATAATTCCAAAATACCAATCTGCACTTTGGTCCAGTCTGAGAAATTACTGGGGTTATAATATCTGCAGTATGCCCATATTTTCCATTAGAACTGTCTGCAAAGAGGTAGGAACCTTCCTTAGTAGCCCTGTGAAGAGAGAAAGTAATAGATTAAGCAAATAATATTGTCATGCCAAAAATATGCACATGGGTAACAATTGTTGGAAAAGTATATAAGAAATACATCTCTAAATCAAGATGTGCTCTAGTCAATTTTTAAAGATATATCGTTATTAAGAAGAAGATAGCAACTTGATTTCTTTCTTCATAGCTGAACAAAGAAACAAAAATAGTTTATACATGGAGCTTCCAAGTAAATAAGTATGCCGGATAATCTCAGTAAACTGAGTTCATCAACAAGGAGAGATAAATAAATGATATATAGACAGACAGACAGACACCCGGCTTTCATGGCCGGAATCACTGGGTTGTAGGTTTTTTCGGGTTATATGGCCATGTTCTAGAGGCATTATCTCCTGACGTTTCACCTGCATCTATGGCAAGCATCCTCAGAGGTTGTGGGGTCTGTTGGAACAACCTCTGAGGATGCTTGCCATAGATATAGGTGAAATGTCAGGAGAGTATGCCTCTAGAACATGGTTATATAGCCCGAAAAAACCTACAACAACCCAGAAAAAAATGTCTCATTTGTAGCACTCCCATTGGGAATAAGCTTTCCATTTTATTCACCATTTATAATTCTGTATATTTATTCAGGCCTTTCATGATGCCAACATTTTCAAGTTAATCTGCTGATATTTTTCTGTGTTCTGTTGGGCTGTATTGTCTGTAATTACTTTTGTATTCATCCATGCTATTTTAGACTATGTTAATATGACCGTATTACCATGCAAGTTACCCCAGAAATTCATTAAGCTGAAAGGTGGCATGTAAATATTGTTAACGAGTGAAAGATCCATATTTTGGTTAATGTGTTCACTCTCAAATATTCCTTCAGCTCATAAAGGTGCAAAGCTTGCTATTGCAATCGTACCAGCTGTGAAAGATTAGGTATTTTACACTTCCATGTCTAGTTTGGATGGGTTTCTTTCCTCCTCAAATGGTGGCATCTTGAAGACCTAACTGCTGTTTTGCCCTTGGAACATTTGGTACTGAATAGCGAAGAAGTTATTAACTATATTCTCTTTACTCTCATGACAGCAATGCTTAAGAGAGAAGGCACAAAGATACAATACTGTGGTATTTCTTTTCCCTACTGAGTTGTCTTGGAGTGTTTTAATGCCTCAGTGATTTTCTGAAAGAATGCTATAAATGGCACTATTTTGACCTTGTTTTGCAGTACAACTTGATTTGCTGTTTATTTCCATAATTCCTTTCTTATGTGGACAACCAGAGAAGTTAACATGCTGATCTCCTAAAGTTTTACAGTTTCTATTTCAAGGATTGTATTCCTTCCCGTGCAATTCAGCATTTTTAAAGCTATAAAGCTAACCATTAAAATAAGGTCGCACCATTGTTCCAGGTTATAGTTTCTGTGATGAGTCAAAATCAATTCACTTTACCAGGACTTCTCTGTATAGTAACTGAGAAGAAAATTGATGCAGACGTATACTCCAGTTACTGGTCAAGTATTGAGCAATGCCAATACAGTTTCATAAGAGATTTTTTAAAGTCAAAAATATAAAGCCAAATCAGAAACATAGTTTGTGGCCAAGATTGTGTTGACAATACACAGTGCACTGATTATTTTTTTTTCATGTCAGGAGCGATTTGGGAAACTGCAAGTTGCTTCTGGTGTGTGAGAATTGGCCATCTGTAGGGACGTTGCCAAGGGGACGCCTGAATATTTTACTATCCTCTGGGAGGTTTCTCTCATGTCCCCATTGATAAACTTAGGCCAATGTATCAACATTTAAACTTACCAGCAGCAAACTGGAACCCCCGGTGGCACAGTGGGTTAAACCCCTGTGCCGGCAGGACTGAATACTGACAGGTCGCAGGTTCGAATCTGGGGAGAGGCGGATGAGCTCCCTCTATCAGCTCCAGCTCCTCATGCAGGGACATGAGAGAAGCCTCCCACAAGGATGATAAAAACATCAAATCATCTCGGTGTCCCCTGGGCAACGTCCTTGCAGATGGCCAATTCTCTCACACCAGAAGTGACTTGCAGTTTCTCAAGTCGCTCCTGACATGATAAAAAAAAAGCAGCAAAGCTTCATAGTGCAGTACCTGCTGAAGCATATGTGTACCTTCTTGTTCTACAATCTTTCAAGCGAGGCAACCCTACACTTCAGCAGGTCCAGAAAGAGGCAGTTATATTGTTAAATGGGGTTGACTACAGGGATTACACAACTCCCTTGTTGCAACAGCTCCACTGACTGCCAATTTATTTCCAGGCACGATTGAAAGTGTTGGTTATGACCTATATGGCCCAGGACTATTTGTACAAAATAATTCCTGGATTACAAGCAGTCTTTGAAAACTGAGCAGATGTTCAAACATCTTTTGTAGCAGAAAGATAATTGCTACCATTACTTTTCACTTCCTTCAAGATCAAAGTTAAGGAAGTATGACCTCCTTATGAAAAAGAAGAACTTTCCCACTGCCCTTTTCTCCTCCTCCTCCTCCTGCTCCTCCTTCCATAGCAGAGAAAGTGTCTGCTGGAGTTGCATTCCAAAACTCCCCTTAATAATAAAATCCATGGATGCTCAAGTCCCATTATAAACAATGGCATAGTAAATACAAAATGCCAAAATTAAGATTTGCTTTTTTGAATATTCTCAGGCCATGGATTGTTGAATTCCATGGATATGGAAGACTAATTTTATAAAGAAATTTTACAGAAAAATACGGAGTCTCTCAACATCTTGATAAAGTACTTACATAATATAATATTAGAGAGATGTCATGTTTTGGCACTTCTAGGAAGCAATTTGACCTCGAACCCTTTTATATTAGGCATCTGATTTAATGGAATTTATTTTGGAAGAGCCTGTCAGGAAATTTTTATAATCAAAACTAATGATCAGATGGAGATCTGAACTTGTCCAGCTAAATATACATAAGGCATAAAGGCTTATAACCTATGAGTTGTAACTCAGAGCTTATGTATAAGATAATGCCTACCTAGAGATCTATTATAGATAAAACACCCCAAGACCCCTTTTAAACCATCTTAATTTACTGATTAAATAAAATGTCAGATGTAGACAACCATTTTGCTGTCACAAAAGTTACTTAATAAAAGGTGATAACTTCCAGAAGGTAAGAGATGAGAAGAATAGTAGCAATGAAGTAACAATTTGTTTCAGATGTAAAACGAATACTGTAGATTCAATTTATAGCTTATTAGATGACAATTGGAACAAATAAATTAAAAAAAATGTGAATGGACCTAACAAAAAAATGGCCCCTTGCACGGGTCAAGTTCTACATAAGATGCGTGTTTTCCAAAACAGAAATAAATTGTGATGGCTGATGAAAGAGAAAAAAAAAACATTTGTGGAAGAAACTTTCAAATGGTCTCCGAAAGGTTCAAATATGTTCCTTTACTTATGTAAGATTTACTTGACCTGGTTGCTTCATTTCACATGAGCACATGGTTAGTTAGTTTGCTGAAACATACTGAATTGTTCTTCATTTTTGTGATATCGAAATCTATCCCTGCTACATGATCCTAGCATATTGTTAACTGAAATGCACATGTATCTTCGTTTTTTGTACTGAGTTGCTATATCAAATTGTGCTTTGCATTACACTTTATTGCTATGTGTAATAAAGAAGACACAGTATGGTCTTATAAAGTCTCCTATAAAATAACTTCTGTACAGCCACACTTTGGTGAGCACTGAGCTCTCTCGTGATTGGTTTTAGTTGATGGGAGATTTTAATATTGCAGAGTTACATTCAGGATAGAGATGGAGAAGACTGGATGCTTACACTGAAAGATTCATGAGCCTAGACATATTTGGTACAACTCAAAAGAAATATATTTGGACATCCCTGTCACCATATTGTGGGCTACTTACACTTTTCCAAAATGTGATTATGAAGAATCTTAGCAAGTGGTAGCATCTTTCTCTGCTTAGTAGATAGTGTCCAATCAGTTCTGAAGTATAAGTTAGGATCAAATATATATAGTATCTAGCATCCAACACTGGTTTGACCAAAATGGACTACGGTGGAGAGCTTCCATTCACTTCTCTATAGGAGTAACCAATTGTCTGAGCAGTCAAGGACTCCTACCCAATAAGGAATGCTTAGATAATGAGTCTGCTGTGGTTTTCCAGCCAGACTGCAATGGTTTCTTCCATGATACTCCATTCTTGACTCTATCCATCCAAATAACTAATGGTTTCACCTTCTCTCAGTATCATGACTGGAGGTTCTTGCCTACAGGGAATACCATTGCTTTAACTATGTGGATCTTCATTGCCAGTGTGATGTTTGTACTCTTAACTATTTTATCAAGATTAGTCATTGGTGCCTTTATACATTGTGAGACAAAATATGTTGATCCTATTTCCATCATGGTTATCTGTCAAGAGGGTACAGCCATTCTTTCACATAAGCATAGTCAGAGCCAGTCCTAGTCATAAGAGAATTTAGTCCATTCAAAAGGCAAGTCAAAGGGATAGCCATAATGTTCTGTTCCAAGAGTCAATTAGCATGAAGCTCACCAGAGATCCAAACACACAAAGTTCAAGGTACAAGGTTTCCAAGATTCCGGCTGGAGCTCTCCATTCAAGGACGATTGCTGCTAGCACCAGGCTACTACCAGCATCCAATATTTATGCTGCCAGAAGCAAGCCTTTACAGCTGTGAAGCCTTCTTCTGTGCTAATACTTGACCTTCACAGTTGGCTGGAATCTAGCCTTAGCTGAAGTCAAGCAGGGCGAGTTAATTCCTGCTCAACAGTGTGATCCTGTTCCTCAGGCACTCCTACACCGGAAGGGCCCAGCTCCTGCTGAGCACTACTACCATCCACATCCTCCGACTGCTCAAGTAACTGCTCATCTGTGGTCCTAAGTTTGTGTGCTGGAAGGAAGCCCTCTTCCTCCTCATCCTCATTCAGGACCTGAACCTGACATTATTTTTGATTATCAAAGCACTCTGGCACCAAAAGGC